AAGTAGGGCATCCAAGCTATAGCTTGCGCAGCTTATACGTAAATCCGGCACTGGCCATAGTTTCACGCTAGTTTGAACTTGTTGCACTACCTTAGCACCACCTGAGTGCTTGTAACAAGCTAAAATATCGCAGTGAATTCTACATTGCCCATTTTGCTTGTGCATAGCTTAACAATCTAAACCAGTGAAATTCTAAAAACAGAGGAAAATAAAATTCCTTTAGATATGCCACAGTTTATGAACGTGGAATTACAATACATTTTAAAATAAACAGTGGTGTTTCAAGGATATATGTAAAAATAAATAAGAACAAAAATTTATGTGAAACAAAACATTAAAAACAAGTAAAAATAAAAGATTAAAGAATTTTAGCATGTCTGGAAGTTGATACATATGTTGAGTTTTACAATAAATTAAAAAAAAAAGCATAATGAAAGGACCTTAACTTTAGTATATTTATGTATAATATTTAACATATTGATTATTGTTTTGTCACTCTATGTTGTGAAATTGTGTACATATTGGTTTCATATACTGTTGGAAAAATCATTAATAGAAGCATTTTTTTTCCCTGAAGTGCAAACAAAACATTTTTTTTTCCCCCCCATGACCATTGAACACATTATCAATAATTTTCTTTAGATCCTGGCTAAATACTGGTGGTCATAATTAAAGTGACCCTACTGAAGCCTATATATATCTCATTTCATTGAAGCTTGTTATATGTTATATAATCTATGGAGAAAAGAAAATTGCAATAAAATTGTAAAAATTCTTATCACTAGATGGCACTTTCTCATGCCATGTAGAAAAATGTATGTAAATTAGGAACTCTTTCCAATAGTCAATGCCATAAAATCATTCTTCACCATGCCTTTAGAAAAGAATGATTTAATTATCTCAAGTATCTCAAGTTCAAAGCATGGAAAGAATGATTGAACTTTATTGGTCAAGTTGTTTTATGAGAATTGTACTAAAGCTGAACTGCAAGAATATTAAAGTTTGAAAAGCTCATGAAAAGTGTCTGTGTCGGAGAATGCTTTGAAAAAAAAAAAGATTGCCGAGTTTGAAGAGATTGGGTAGTTGGATGTGCTGCCAGGAAGAAGGCAGAAACAGCTTTCAAATGAAACTGTAGAAATCATTGTTGCTGTTGTTGACAGACTGTCCTTTCTCAATAGTCTCTGATAAATGAATCGTATAGCATTATTTGTGTATCCCTTAACCTATGGTATAAAAGTTTCGGTACTCTTCTGTTACTGGGACCAGTTTCAGAAATGTATGCATGTATGTATGTATCTATGTGCATGTGCACACATACATACATGCAGACACATACACACATGCATACATAAATACATTCCTGAATCCGATCCTGGTAACAGAACAGTACCAAAGTTTCTGCAGCCCATTTCAAAGGGGTGTCCATGCAAAACCTGTATCCTCAAGACTTAATGCATAGATTTTTTACTTGCAAGTTTTGAGCAAGAATTAACTATTGATAATGCATGATTTGAAGGATTTTATGGTCAAACAAGGTGTATTTTGCTATAGACAAAGCATGAATACTCAAAACTATCACATATTAGATACTGCAAGTTCCATTGTTCTGCATGAACTGCCTCTTTATATGATTATATGGTGTGAATTTACTGTTGACTTTATTCGGAGCTCATTTCATACTGACCAGTAAGTGAAGAAACTGCTTTGTGCTCTGATGAGTGAGTAATTTGTAGACATTTTCTGAATGCCTAGCGTCCTTGTACTCTGAACTTGAATCATTATGACTTCTGGTTATGAGGATGTATAAAGAGCATGTATGGAGAGAAAACATACAGACTTTGCCTGAATTGAAAGCAAGCAAACCATGCCATGTTACTGCTGTTCCTTGAGAAATCTTTCGCGGATTAATTTTAATTCGGTTTGAACATGTGATTGATACAATAGTATGCACACTGAATAAATGTGTGATTAAAAAAAAAGGTTTTATACGTTAGAGTGGATTGAAGGGTACCCCTTGTATTATCGCTAAGTTGTTGATAATTTATCGCCAAGTTGTTTCATTTATGGTAACCTGAGTAGTTGAATGTTCTGTAAATATACTTTTACATAGAATTGGGTGCTCATTTGACTTTTTAAGTGAAAATATATCGATGTGTACATGCACAGAGTCAAGGGAGTGCGCAATGCCAAGTTTGTGCAATCCTCTGATGTTTTTTTAAGTGAAAATAGGTTGACATGTACATGTATAAAGTCAAAGCAGTGTGCAATGCTAGTTTGTGCAATTCTGTGATTTTTTTTATTTTTTATTTTATTTATTTATTTATTTATTTATTGAAGTGAAAATAGGTGAATGTATACATGGATACCGAGTTTGTGTTTAACGAGTCAAAGAATTGCACAAACTCAGTATCCACGTGCCGTCAAAAATCACCAATTTTTTCCAAGGGGTACCCATAAATATACTTTTACCATTTTATGTTTTTTGTTTATGTTTCTTGCTCTTTTTATGCCACTTTTTTATCTGATAGTCAGAATTTAAGCTATTATTGAAGTTTTCTTTTCCCCCCAATATACTTATATACCAAGTTTCAACTCAATACATCAACCAGAATGGACTCTACATAGATCTGAGAAGGGTCACTTTAATTATAACCATCTAGTTGTATTATTTACTTTTCATGTTTTTATGTCACTCTACTTGGCAATGAAGCAATAAAACAGGTACCTATTTCTCAAAATATTTATATGCATATGAATTATATTCACTTTGTCTAAAAGAATTTTTTTTTTTTTTTACATTAATAATGTAAAAAAAAATGAGTGCAGTTTTCAAATACAGCCACTCATGAAAGCTTGTTTTTTCATTTTGAGTAAGCCCAAGGGGTAGTTTTATAAATGTGGGATCATGTCTAAGGTTTATACTATATCTAAGCCTCATACCTATGTTGGCAGTCTATTCTATGTCCAGTCACTTTCTCTGTTGATGAAATCTGAATGCGCATATAAGATATCATTAGTTAACATGCTTAATGATTTTATAAATATCAATTTAGAAAAAATTATAATTTTTAGAATATTGCAAAAAGAAAGCATCTATTTTGTTTGGTGGCAGTACAAAAATGTACCGCACATCGCCTGATGGAGGAAAGATAAAAGGTTTGTATATGAAACATCCACTATGTACATCTTTTGACTATCTGAGTCAGTTTTGTGATATATGCAAACTAACTGCATAATAGTTATGAAATGTAATTGTGTAAAAATTTGTTGTCAAAGTTCTTGTAAAGTATTATGGTTAATGACAGCATGTATTATGATTCTTTAACAAATCACCAGAGGGAAGAGAAAAAGTGTCTATGCATTCTAAGAATGTAGAAAGAGTATAGCAGATTCTTGTGGATTTACCTATTCATTGGTGAAAAAAATAGTTATAGTTAGATAATATTGTTACGAAATGTACAGGTAAGATGGCTACCCTGCAAAGCAGTTTTAGGATTGCCATAAAATAGCAAGGAAGGCAGGGTTGCCACATTTGGTGAGAAATTGCTATTTGGCGACAAAATTGGCTATATACCATGGACGGACGGAGAACCTTCTGCAACGAATTCTTACCAGTTTAGCCCAAAATGTTCTCGAACACGAGCCGAAAGCTATATAAACCCTACTGGTCCACAGTCTGTTAGTGAGTGCCTCGTCAAGAGGGCAAGTCAGAGAGTGAGCCTCGTCTAGAGTGCGAGATAGTTAGTCAGTCCGTGCGGAATCAATCGAGTTGACAGCCGGGCAGCAAGTGCTGAGTGGGTCGTCGAGTGCACCGAATTATTCTCTTAGTGTATCGTGGTTAATGCATCGTCGGGAGAGCGTGTTGAGCTCCGGGAAAGACTGAACCGAAGAGATGGGAGCTGTGCTCTATGTGTCGTCGAGTGCATCACGAGTTGTAGTGTGGAAAGTCTCAAGAGTACGTGGAGTTCTGAGAACGACCGAACAGAGTTAGGAGCTGTACTCTGGTGCTTTGCAGTGAAGCTGTCTCCACCGTTATTGCCTGACAATGTGAAGGCTGTGTCGCTGAATGTGTCAGCGTGTTTATAACAGTTCGATGACTGTAAATGTGATTTTGGAGCTGTCCTGATTAATATCGGTAAATAAAAAGTGTGTTTCGATATTCCATCAAGTGCTGTCATCGTTATTCACTCCAAATCCACGCGAATCCCGTACGAACGTGAAGGAAGGAAATGACGTAACAACTGGTGTCAGAAAAGAAGGAAAAAATGCAACAATATATAAAAAATACTACCCTCAAGAACATAATCCTCTTTTCTGTATCAGATAATGTATAACAGTATATTTGCCCTTTGGCAAGTAAATAAAATCTGCATCCTTTTTAAACATTTGTAAACAATATTTAATAATTGTGAATTATTTTGAATATAGTTGAGATGTTTTGTTTGCAATGTACTTTTTTATTATTTTAGAAATTAATATTTTAAGATACGGCTTAAAACGGGTTACTGAAAATGAGGCCGAGCAAACTGCCATGTGTTAATTCTCTACTGAGTATTCTTTTGCTGAAAATACACATCCTGAATGTTAGTGGTTGAATTAATTTTGTGATAATAACAGAAAATCCTAATTTTTTTTAAATGCTAATAAAAAAATGTTTTATTGCATCTGGCATTTCTTAGAACTGTCAACTCTTAAGAAAGGTCTGTTAAAAGCAAGTTTAAAATATAAAATTTGCATGCCTTTAAATAATGTTTGGTTATAATGCCTAAATATTTCTTTGTTTTAATTCCTTTTGTGTGCAGTAGAGTATTGGTTGTTTTCATTTTTAGGTGGCTATTTCTGCACAATTAGTTTGCTGGCAAAGAAAGCAGTTTACACTGCAACAAACTGAAATTTTAGTTTTGCATTTTTTTTTTTTTTTTTTTTTCCCTTAAGCTGTTTAGCTTTTTTTAGGGTCATACTGCTTTTATTAATTTATGTTTTGTTGTATTTTTAACTAGTTTTAGCAAGTTGGATGTATTTCTGTTGGATGAAATGGTTTATTTCCGATCTTGCAACACAATGTGAGTTTATCTTTTATTTCTTCCAGAGATTGTTGGTGTCAAAGTATCATATGTGATTGTTTTACCTATTATTGTAATTAATAAAAATTTTAATTACGTGATTGTGAAGATTAGAATTTTCATATTCTATATAGCTGCATTTATGAATTGGACAGATACCGAAGCAGTGATGATCATCCCACAAAACCTATTACGGGTCAGCGACTTGTCACTAAACTGATCGAAGATGGCTGGGAGGCTGTTATTCAGAAGGAATGTGTTCAAGTTTGGAGGAAGGCATTTCCTAATTCGTATCTTTATGAATACAAAAGTAAGTGTAATACACAAATTAAAACATAACATTCTTAATATAAAAGTATCCTAAGCCCCGTTCACATGCAATGCTCTTTCGCACAGCCACCGTTTACATTAGGAAGAAATGGGAATATGAAGCAGTTTCGCCTTCAGGACCGGTTCAGATGCACATCGTCTTTAGTCCCTTAACCTATAAGCCACTGCGAGCAATGAATGATGTCGCAAACGCGAATCAGATTTGGCGGATTTCTAACGTTTACTTACATTTTTTTTGACATTGTTTACTATTGCTATAGAATGCCATCAGAGTTTACTCTTTAATTAATTAAAATATACCTAAATTAATTTTAAATGCAATTTATATACGAGACCAAATGATTAAAAGAAGAAAAGAAACCACATATGCTGCTGAGCGGTTTTAAGTAAAATGTTTTGTGGCTGCTAAAATTTCTAACTTTGCTTTTTGAAAAAGGAATAAAATGACAAATTAATAGTATTAATATGATTTATAAATGTTTTAATATTGATTATAAACGTTTTAGAGAATATATTATAATTAATTCATCTGTTAAAATTGTTTTGAACATGTTTTATGAAGATTTTAAATAATAGCTTGTAATTTATGTTTATATTAATCAATTGAACTGGGTTTTATTTTATATCTATGTAATGGAATTCAGTAATAAAATTTTTAATCAATTTGAAATGATTTAATGACCATATAGACAGCTTATATTCTTTAAAATGCTTATTATCAGTTTGCATTTTTTCGATAAATTCTTTTATTTAAAGTCGTAAAACTTGTATAGATGTGGCCTAAATTATTTAATATTTTTACCACTTAATTAAAATTATATACTTTATAGAAATAAGAATGAGTTTTGCAAAACACTGAAAAAGAAAAATTATTTGAAGTGGAAATGTAATTGAGATAATATTTGTTTCAAAGTTTTTGCATAAAAATGTGTTTTTATTTTTTCTCAGAAACTATTTCATTAATTGCAAAATCTATCCGTAAAGTTATTAAGAACTTTCTAACAAATAGAATAAGAAAATTGGGGGGAAATCATTGAAAATTGTAAGAGAAGAATGACATTTTAATTGCTAAACTTTTCTTTCAAAAATTTTAATTAAACAAAAACTGGCAAAAAAAATTTTCGCAGCTTAAAATTATTTTGTCTTACAAAACCATTTAATAACATTCATAAAACTAGATGAAGGTTCGTAAACAAACAAAAAAAAAATCATTCAAAAGGTATCTAGTCGAGTTGAAGTCGATATGTGCATCTTTAGTTTTATTTGAACGGTTTTTCTGGACTACCCAACATCAGATAGCATTGTTCGTAATTGATAGAAATTTTCATATTTCGTATGTTTCTATGTAATTTTGTTGGATGATATTGCGTCCTCAGGTATCTTCCAACGCGATTGTTTTGCTGACAGTCCAGCGAGCAGTCATTAAGTGAACCGCACAATCACTCAGTGCAGTATGGGAAATCTCTCCATTTGCCCTGCTCCCGAGAGGTAGAAATGTTCTACCTCCAATTCGAAGAAGCAGTTAGTGCTTGTCGCTGTGTGAACAGGACATAATGGGAAAACCAGTTTTTGCTGCTGGTTGAATCTGATCTTGTGAACGGGGCTCTAGAGGTAAAAAAACTAAAGCTAGCCGTTTCTTCTTAAAGTTCTGTAAAATAATTGAGATTTCCTTAATTATCTATTGTATTCTTGCTTTAATATGTTTCAAAGATGTTACTCTTTTTTATGAATTTATGTTGTCTTTCCGGGTGCCCAGACTGTATATAGCAGTTAGAGGATCCTACTGTGATACTGAAGGACCTAGGTTCCAATCCTGGAAAAGACATGGCTGTAATTGTTCATCTCTTCATAGGAGTTTATGGTGGCCCACCTATTAGGTGCTTTGACAATAAAGGAGCCATCACTTCTAGCCTTTGTAATGGCCAATCCAAAGTCAACTAAATGCCTGCCAATGCACCCCCCCCAAAAAAAAAAACACTTTTCTTTCTGTAACAGACAACAATATTTAAGATTCTCAGATATCTTAAAGCCATATACCTCTTCCCAAAGAAGAAAGAAAAAAAAAAAAAAAAAGATTACTTACTGGTGTTCTAAATGTGTTTTATATTTCCTAATTAAACCAACTATATAATAAAAAATTTTAGTGATTCTTCCTTTGAGGTAGCAGTTCTGATTTGATGTATGCTAACAATCACAGGAGCTAAAATGATTTGTATTTATATAAAACTCTTTCAGCTTGACTATTTTATTAATTAATTAAAGGGATTAATGTTACTGCTTTCATTAATTTGCATTTGCTGCATTTATTTAATTTTAGCAAGTTGGATGATTTTTTTTTATGTAGATTGGTATAATTAGGCTCACTTAATTATTTTGAATGTACAGGCAAGTCCATGGAAAAATAGCTTACCTGATGACTGTCTCTCTGTCTGACAACTACATGTTGCCAAATAAAGCACTGTTTCAGTTTTATTTTGCCCCTTCCTATTCACTCCATCTGTATACATCACCTCAAAAAGATGCTCTGCATCTTGTCTTCTTATTGTTGGAGATAAGCTACATTTTTCCTTTTCGTGGGTCACTCTGTATTTTAAAAAATTTGGGATTTAATCATTTAAAATCAGTTTATGTTAAAATTTTATCTCATTTGCTTTTGCAAATGTACATGCAAAATTCTCTTTTTTTATTTCTCTATGTCCTGTCTGATGTAGTGCCATTTTATTGACTTGGAAAAAAAAAAGAGGGGAAAAACTAATAAATGCAAGTAGCCAATTCTGGTTTCATGTTTAACTGATTTAAAGGTTACAGTTTTACCTTATAAATGATTTGATAGTTTATAAAATACATATACAGCATTCAAAATGTGTACTTTTCTAAAACATTATTTATAAATGTTTTATCTACACTACTTGATATTAAAAATGCAACACCAAGAAGGAATGGCAAGAAAGTGATGAGCTTGGAAAGCAGAGAGACAGCAATGAACAGTAAGTGATCTTTATTTTAAAATGATTTGCATAATACAGAGTGAGAACAGTGTTGACTCAGTAGGTTTAGGACCACCTTGGACGGTGATATACGAAGCAACGCATCTAGGTACAGAGTCAATGACAGTATAAATGGTGTGCTAAGGAATGGCTCTCCATATCCTGTCAACCATTTGCCACAGATTGTCTTCTGAATGTGGCAATGGCAGGGTTTGCAAATAGTGTCTAATCACATCCCAAATGTGTTTGATTGGCGAGAGATCAGGAGAGAACAGTGGCCAGGGAAGCATCTGTACACCTTGCAGAGCACGTTGGCTGATGCGAGCAGTTTTTGGTGTGGCATTATCTTGCTGATAAAAGGCATTGGTCATTCCCTGAATGTAGGAGAGTATCAATGGCCACAGCACATCATCCACATATCATTGGGCCGTCATGGTGCCCTGAATATGAAATAGAGGTGATCTGGAATCGTACACAATTGTGCCTCAAACTGTGAATGCTGCATTGTCATGCAGTGGGGTGTTTTACAGTTGCTGCGAATTGGACCTGTCTCTACATGGACGCCACACTCGTATGCAGCAACTATCATTGGAGAAACAGAAATGTGATTAATCTGAGAACACGATCCTGTGCTATTTCATCATCCACATTGCACAAGCCTGGCACAATTGCAGATGTTAGCATCTATGATGTGGGGTCAATGGCAGTTTTCTTAACAGACACAACTAATCAATGGTAAATGGTTCTGGTTGATATGGGAACATCCAAGGGTGTTTTGAACATGCAGCAGAATGAAGGTAAAAGTAGCTTTCAGGTGCAGCACCGCTTGTCGGCAGATATGTTGATCCACGCATGCTGATGTCATTCTGGCTGCACCCCTCAAACTTGCCACATTTCTTTGTTCCAACCATTGTTGTCATAGCCAGTGAACTGTGGATGCCTCCAGGTATGTGTCAGCTGAGATTTGCGATATGGACCAACCTGCCCTTCTCAGTCCAAATACCATGCCCCTCGTAAAATCATCTGTCTGCTGGAACTGCCTCTGTTGATGACAGCTTGGCATTCTCTGCTATTATATGCATTCTCTGAAACAAAAATAAATTTTCTATGATGACTTCCCTAACAGAAATAATGCCATGAAAATTTAACATTCTGCAGATTTCTTCCCTTATATCTTCTTCAATGTGTGCTGGAGAGCTGCTCATTTCGCATCATTCGCATAACTCGGTGATGTGCATCTATGCTGAAATTTGCATAATTTTCGGGTCGCTCCTTCTTAGTGTTGCATTTTCAGTGTTCGGTAGTGTATATAGAGGTGTTATTTTTATGATAATAAACAACTGCTCAGGAATTTTAATTTGATATCTTCATAGTAATTAAATTTCCTAGAATTAGAAGTATTTGTTTGTAGCAATAAGCTGTAACTTTAATTTTTGCAGTGATTTAAAAGTAAGAAAAATTTTTGGTACTTGCATATTAACACAACCACCTTTACTTATTGGGAGTAAGTCAGTGATATTCTTGACTTTTCTCAAAAAGATTTTCAAAACATCAATATTTATCATAAGTTGACAAACATTAACAACATTTGCAGTATGAAATGCAAATTTGAATTATTAAACAAGGATTACATTAAAAAAATAGTGCAGATTCATCTCCAAATCTTTGTCATTTTTTGTGCTGTTTTTCTCCCCAAATACACAGTGATCTACACTGGTTATCATAAATTAAGGAAAAATCACAAAAATAGCAATAACTCCCTAAAAATAAGCCAAACCGTGTGAAATTTGAGTATGTTGCCAAGTAAGAGTAGCTGAATAAAACTGCAATATGCAAATTAGTGGCGCTGCACTCGGAATATGTCATATGCGAGGAGAATAAAAGTCTATGTTTGAGAGGAAGCCCACATATTTCACTGTGATAGTGACATCAGAAATTTGAGATAGCCAATTCGTAACAATGACCCCCAGCCATCATTTGCCTGCAGAACTGC